ACCCGCTGCCACAACTACTGCAAGGGAGAAAAACCCGATGGCGATTATTTCAAGCTTTGTTACCTTTCTAAAGTCATTGATGCGTTTTATGTTAAGCTAAGTCAGTGACCTGAGACGACCTTTTTGATTTGCAAGCGCTCTGTTGCCATTTTTAGTGCTGCGTATGATTCAGGCCACGACTCTGGACCTAGTTATCTACTTGGCTCCTTAAATTTAATTTTCACCTGAAAGATTAAACCGTTCCCAGCTGTCTATGAAATGGTCTCACCTTAAACGTGACAAGCGTAATGCGATCAAACGGCATGTCATTGCATTCTTTTGGCAAATGGATGTCGATTTTTGTTTGTTTGTTTATTTGTTGCATTTCTGGTACCATGCCGCTATCTCGGTGAGGGGCCAGGTGCATGACCATTTGCAGTGGACGCGCCCTAAAACTCCCCAATTAGGGGCCGAATAGAATGGATCTTTGGATGGATCAAATGAATGGATCTTTCCATTCCTGTCCGTTAAGATTTGGGAAATCTAAAGGGGATAATCCGTAGATTTGATTGCACTGAATCTTGAAGACCCAATCCTTGAAGAGCTCTAGCTGTCGGGAGCCGGATAGCGAGTGAACGTGTGACTGCCGCTCACAATTCCACGCAAGGTGCGGGACGGTAGGCCCAGCCGTCTCTTAGAACTAGCACACTTCCACTCAAGAAATCTCATGAAGCGGTTGGTTAGATTGACGCAGACGTCAGATCGCCAAGGCCTAACACGAGCACATTTCTAGTATCCTTGAAAACCAAGCTAATGTAATGCTCCGCCGTTTAAGCTGGCAGGATTTCCTGTCTTTAGCTCTATGAAGCACGATTTATCTACTCAATTTCTCCCGACCGTCCTGTGCTTATCTGCAGACTCGCCTTAATAGCGTCGTGATTTACGTGGAACCAGTTCCCGGCGCGACATCTGCTCAGCTGCCCGCCTGAATGGCGCGCGTATTACACCAAGCTTTGTGTGGACTGGATGTAGATTACCACAGAAGGTGCAGGCAGCTAGACAGTCAGTTTTGAGATACGTCGTACCACATTGTCACGCATGCAAAGCGCCGTTGCTGAAACTGGGGAGTTTATTTAAATATTTAGGATTTCGACACCAATGGTTTATTGCCAGATGCAGAAACCCGACGGCTTGTAAGTCGTAAACGTGCCAGTTGACTACACGGCACTTTATCTAGACGCCGTGTCCTCACAACCAGTGTCGTGTTATTAGTTCAAAGGTATCATACTGAGCTCACGGCCCTCCATACACCACGTGCAGATTAGAGAACATTGTAACGCTAAATAGTGATTATATTGATCCATTTTTCGAGTTATACTCATCCTTGAGAGTAGCCGCTGGCTTCTCGAAAGACCAGGAGTTGAAAGCCTTCCCCCCTATGTCAGTGCTGTATTTCCATGATTTCGAGACTTTTCAGACCACACATACCACCCATAAGGCCTGGCTCAGGGACACAGCGAACTTTTAACGAACACAGGCTTCGGCAGCCCTCTCAAGACTTCCAACGTCCGACCGTGCTTCACCCATGCTGCTCCACGCATTTTCCGTGATGCAGCCATCTCCGTCTACACATCTCGATTCCAGCTATCCGTAACACTGACCAGTAGATACTACAGTGGTTAGGGTGGCACTATCACTCTGACAATGACTGGTGAACGAGCGTGTCTGTGGCACGGCACCACGAGGGCTCAAAGTGCACCTGCAGCGTCTTGATTTCTCAGCAAGGGCTGTACATTCTTTTCTGGAACACGGAGGTTTACTGCCGTAGGCCGTATCCGTTGCAATATCGATGCGTTGCAAAGCCCGCTGCACTAATGCATAGTAAGGGCGCACAACTACTCCAAATTTGGAGAACACAGTGGTGCGTACAGTGTCAGCATTAGAACTGCCGGTCCTGCCTGGCATGCGCACTACGACCCGCACTACTCACAATATATATATATATATATATATATATATATATATATATATATATATATATAATAATTATCGTAGCTGGCCAAACCTTGTCATGTCATACAATGGGGCCCCTGTCCTCATCGCAGCGAACTTAGTGGTTCCAGGGAGAAAGTGCGTCTCGGCTACCCGGGCACGACTCTACAGCTTCTCTTCCAGGGAGATGGTGGTATCCTTTTGCGAGAACCGATGATAATGCTGGGAGGAAGTCTAGGTCGTCTCTGCGAAGGGATGACGACATGCTCTGGTCGAGACCGCTACCCCAGCACGCCTGCCCAGCGGGCGGTGGCCAGTGTCGACCCGAGGAGGCGTCCCCACCGCTGGCGAAGGGTGCTGCGCCTGGGCTGCCCGGACCGGGCCGGGCCGCCCCGACATTATCGGCCTGTCGACGGCCGGCGCCAGGCATCATTAGGGCGCGACGCCGCCGTCTGGCGGTTATCGCCGCCACTTTGGCCGGCGCCCGGCGACGCGGCGCCACCGGAGGCCGCAGCGGCGCCACCGTCGCCGCAGCGGCACTCACCCGGAGGCGACCGGCAGCTCCACCTGGCGCCGGACGCGTGGGCTGAGTGGAACAGCGACGTTCGGTACCTTGACCGTTCCGACTTTTGAAGCTTGCGAAAGTGGACAAAGGTCCGTGTTTCCTATTAAGCGTTGTTCTTCCGATCTAGGACTAAACGTAATAAATGAGGCAATTCAACACGAACAGTGAAAACTGTTCTTGTACTTCAGGACAGCAACGACGTCAAGGCCTGGTACCAGGAGCGCGGGGTCACAACTTCAGAACAGCAGTGGCGTCAAGGCCAGGTACCAGGAGCGCGGGGTCACAACTTCAGAACAGCAGTGGCGTCAAGGCCAGGTACCAGGAGCGCGGGGTCACAATCCCAAATCGCGGACGTAATTAAACAGCGAAGACCAGAGCCAGTATACCGCAGTGAGTCAAGAAAGGCCACGTGCTCCTGACTCATCTCGGGAAGGAAGATGACACCGCGGTGAGGAACGCCGCGCGTCTCATCGAGGCAAGCTGGCGAATTTCCGCTGGGGCGGCGCGGGCAGACAGCCGACTGGACCGAGCTCGAGCCGGGCCGGGCCGGCAGCGTCAACAGCGGCCTCTGGCCGACGGGCGCGCTGGAGCGCCGCATCGAACCGCCTTTTTGGTCAAAAGAATCCTCATGCATGGCAATGTCCTGACAGGTTATTTAAAATAGTGTATTTGCATCCCTCACCACATCGACGGAAACAAGCGTTTTGCAAGCAGTAGCAGCGAGTTCTGCAGTAGTTTAATTGTCGCCTTTAAGAACGGGTTCAAGCTATGTGAAGCCTCACTGGGCACGCAGGCTCTCACTGGCCAGCCAGGCCATGACCAAGAGCTATAATCTTACTTTTGAGCACAAAAGCGGCGTGCCAGCAAAACGCCACGCGTTGCACAATGCGCGAACTTTCGGAATCGCCTGTGCTCTTCTAACTCAGGTTATTGAAGCAAGGAATTTGAATTGCTGTTCCCTTCCTAACGGAGGATTGCATTTTAGGTGGAGGCTATGTAATACACGTGGCCGTACGTCTGAAGTCCAATGAAAATAAGCCGTACCAGCTTCAACGTAAGCTGAAGCTGAAGCTTAAGCTTCAGAACAGACCCGCTTTACGTCGTTGGCCACACAACTTTATGGATGTAATTCACTAACCATAGTATGATCTCACGCCGACCAAACGTATTATCATACAGACATTCCACAAAACAACTCGATAACATTCGCCAAATTAGCCCCGAATATATGAATCGCAACACAGTTAAGCTTCATGGCCCGTTTCAACCTCAATGTGCATACACATCAACCAACGCTGCGTGACCAGAGCTGACATAGGACCGACATGCACACATACGCACCGCCTCATGCACATTTTCACCAAGCCCTCAGCTACAGTGGTCCTGGAATGCAATGGTGGAGATGCATTACATATCACCTGGCCCGGTGATGGCTACGCTTCAAATAACGTCATTTATCCCGCACGTGACGTCAGTGGTAGGAAGCCGAAAAGCTTAGCTTCTTTCTAGCCATGATCATGATGATGAGATACCCAACTTTGAGGTTGAAGACACTTCACGTCAGGGGTACGAAGCCGTAAAGCTTTGCTACTTTCTAACCATGATCATGATGATGGGCTCCCTTACTTTGAGGTTGAAGACAGACTCTATGATGAGTTCCGTAACTTCGAGGCTGAACAAAGGCTCCGACCACTATGAGTTTCCTAACTTTGAGGTTAAAGACAGACTAACCATGATGAGTTTCCGAACTTCGCGGTTGAAGACAGCGGAATGCTACCATTTGCACAAACACAAGAGGTACGCGACAACTGACGGTGGCAAGCGGCGACAGGGCTCGATTCTCCAACCTTACCTGTGCGAAGTGGGCTTGAAAGACTGACTAAGATCACATCGGACAGACACACCACTGATGGCTGGGACGTAGGAGCAAGGGGCGAGATGGCGCAGCTGAGACCGAATAATTACAGTCGTCCTGAATTTGTATGCCTGAAAGCCCTCATGAATCTTGGATTTTTCCAAACTTTTCCCCTGAATACGTTGGTATCGCCATAGCCGAGTTTTGTAGAACAAAAGCTTCGATGAAATATGACTGAAATTTATTTTCAATTCGTTTCGTTGAGCTGGGCAGAGTACAGGAGTCCGCACAAGGTACTACCGACTGAAGGCTAATCGAAAAATGGAAGCATTTGTTTTGCTAATTCAGTCCAACCTTTTTGATTGGGGAAATTTCTGGGATCAGTGTCCACGCCCACCACTGCTTGCTGGCTGCGTCCTGACCTCGCCACGAACGTAAAGTTTCAGATCACGGCAGAACTGTGCGACGAAAGCGTATGGCGTCGGAGTGCTCGGTTCGCTCCCCCCCCCCCCCCCCCCCCCGTGCGCTGACGTAGCCGCACTGTCAGCGCGACCGCAGACACCGGCCACAGGCCATTCCAGTCAAGGACAAACAGCGGCGCCCGAGGCGACCCAAACCCATCCCGGTGGCTGGTGCGGAATACAGGCGCTCCAAGCACCTGAGCTATCGAGGCGACCACGAATAACACAGGCCGGAGCCGAGTAGCAGTGCCCAACAACACCACGACCTGAGCCGTACAGCGCCCCAGCTGCGGCGCGCCGCGTTGGTAACTCCTTAAGCTGGCCGATCATCAGTTCCCGTGAGTCGTTCGACATCTGCTGCACTTGCTCACTTCAAGACCCCGCGGACAAAACGAAGGGTGTATTATGCACTGCGACCGGCGATGACTATAGTCGACACCCGAAAACGGGCCCGCGTTGGCAGCTGACTAGCTGTACTGGTCAGGGTTCAGGAGTGGCCGCCAGCGCGTATCTCGCGCCGCCTCCCACCGCCCGGGAGCACCAGCTCGGCACGCGGGAGGACACCAGCGCGCACCACTGACACTTCGTTAGTGTTCCGTCATCGGCCGGCGGCGGCCACGGCGGCTGCCGCTCAACCCACGGGGATGTCGGCGGCAGCGACAGGAAAGCTCCACCACTAAGCTCATCGTTGACCCGGCACATGACTGGTTGCCGGAGGTTGTCAGCTTCGGTGACCACACCAGCAGCGCAGGCGTATTACCCTGCACGCACTCACCCGCCAATGTTGCCCCCTGTTCGGCCACACGTTCTGACACTACGCGGAGATCGCCGGCGCTCAGACATCGATGATTGTCGGAATGGAAGCCTGCCTCCTCCTCCGCACGCTCACACGTGGCAAGTGGCGCTACCAGAGCCCCGCGACCACCGCCAGGAACGGGGCTGGCCCGGGGAAACGTGTCGTCTTAATACAACTCGGGTATCACAGTTACATAATCATGAAACATTTGACTCTTAACGGCGCCTAAGGACACCACTGATGGAACCACCGACGGGAAGATATCGAGCCTCCCCAGCGGAGTCATGTGCACACGGCACTACATGATACGATGGCAAAAGTTGTCTAACAAGCTCCACGCATGCGGCTCACAACATATGACCACCTGCTGATGAAGTGCTTGAATGTTCGCCATAGTCATCAGCAGGGGCGAGCGGCTGCCCGATCTGCAGCTATGAGAGCCTCTGTCAACGCGTCCCTGTCCATAGGGAACTCCCGTCAACGGCGGGCGCGCGCCCTGCGACCGGCACACACAGCAGGTACCCCAGCGATCCGCCGCACCGGTTACGAGACCTCCCGACGGGCCCATACTGCGACGTCACAACTGATCACAGGTCACGGGAATGGGGGCGCCAGCCGACCTGACGCGCCGGGCGGCCTGTGCCCCACGTGCGTCTCACACCCACACACACGGCCCCCACTCGGCAGGTTGGCGTCACATGGCGGAGCCGCGGCCCGGCCATGGCCGGCCAGACTGCCCCAGCTCCCCGCCCCTTCCCCTGCAGCTGAGACGATACCGCTGACACGAATGGGTGGGAGCTCCCAAAGGAGAGCAACTCGCTCCAAAATGACAAAACCTCTGTGCCACATGATAACGGCCTTGTCCAGGACAGCAGCAGCACTACCGTCGGAGGTAGCAGCCGGCCGCCAGGTCCTGATGAGCAGCGCGCCGCCAGCCAGCGCATCACGCCCGCCCAGTGATGAAGGTCCAGCGCTGGCTGCGGGCGCGCGGCGAGCAGCGAGCCGCCGTCAGCGCGCCGCCGGCTGAGCTCGAGTCCACACACAGGTCCCGCAGCACGTGTCGCAGCGCACCGGCGCGCCGCTCCCACTTCTGAGGACGGAGAGTTCCAGGGGTCAGGTGGGACGGAGCAGGGGTCATTTACGGCGGGGCAGGGGTCAGGCGAAGCGGAGCAGGGGTCAGATGGAGCGGGGTAGGGCTCAGATGGCAGGGGCAGGCGTCGGAACACCGGGGCAGCCGGCATATGACGGGGCAGTCGTCAAATGGCGGGGGCAGGCGCCCGACGAATTCAGACGGAGCTGAGGATACGCTTTCTCCGTCAGTAGTGAATCGGCTGGTCAACGCCGGAGGGTTAAACTGCCGGTCACTGCCGGTCACCGCCGGTCACTAACGGTTACTGCTGGTCACTGCTGCCGGTTAAGCTGCCAGTCACTCTCGCCGTGCAGCGGACCATGAGACCTGACAGGGGACAGCGGGCTCTCGGACCAGTGGCCCTGCAGCGACACGATCAGGTAGTACTCAGCACACGTCTGGCCGTTGATGATCTGTTCGGCGCGGCCTGACCTGGTCGTGGCCGTTTGTGCAGGGCAGCAGTCGGAGCTGGGTGCCGGGCCGGCCGCCGGGCAGCGTGAGGCACAGGCCCAGGTGGCGGATGGTCTGCTGGTCCGTGTATGACCAGGCCTGATAGCAGGCACGCGCGCCCGGTTAGCACGCGGGGTGGGTACGCACCGCCACGAGTGGCGGCGGCCGCGCCCCGCTGGGGGGTCGACGGCACTGGCTGCCCCGACACGCGGCATCAGGGGATCAGACAACGCTAACAGACATGATCGCACATCCGTGTCTGCACACGACGCACGCGGCGTTCTGCAACGCAGACAACACAATGACGAAATGTCATAACACATGCCTCCACAACGTTCTCGCCAAATCAGGTGTCCAAAGACACGACCGCTGACCAGGGAATGTGCAGTGCAGTTTGGCCTAACTCCCCTGCACGGTGCTCTGATGCAGCGCCGCCAGCCCACACCGGGCGCGACGGAACACACAGTCTGGCAGAGACACTCGCAGCACCGTCTATACCGGCAACGCCACACACAGCGCCCTCTGCAGGCACCACTCTGGGCAAGGCCGCGGCAAACTTAGCTCGACGGCAGCGCGCCAGCTGTAGGATTTTGTACGGTACGCGAGGACGCCACAGGGGTGACGAATTTATCAAGAGCAGACAGAAGTATGGTGAGACGAAGGCTACACTATAGTTAGACGCCAAATGACAGGTCAGCCTCGTCTAATAACGTCCCGAAAACAAGCAGGTAGCTAGGAAAATTTTAAATCTTGTTCCACCTTGGAATTCATACCAAAAAATATAAGCACACAAAGGAATCTAAACTTATCCCAGGACAGTAGTCGTTGCAAAGTTCAGCTACAAAAGCAGCTATGCCTTCCAAAAATAACCAACCACACAAGCTGCAAGGGGGACACCAGAGCAGATTTGTTGGTGGACCCCGGGTGTATTACCTGGTTACCGCCCGTTCCGTGGCAGGTGTACAGACCCACTGTGTCATTCTTGCTGTGACCCAGCGTGTCCATACAGACGTTACCCTGCCAACGTATTACGGAAGTGTCAAATGACACGCACGCACGCACGCGCCGCAAAACACCCACACGCACGCACGCACGCTCACACACGCGCACCCACGCACCAACACCCATACGCACACGCACACGCACAAACACACACACACACACACAAACACACACACACACACACACACACACACACACACACACACACACACACACACACACACACACACAAACACACACACCACAAACACACACACACACACACACACGTGCGCGTGCGCAAACGCTCACCGCCATGGCTAACTTTAAATCCCCTTTCAAGCAGCAGTTCTGCGCGTACAGTTGCGCTGAGCCAAGCGCGGGGCCAACACCAGCGCCACCGTTTCCGCACCAGCGCACCAGGCGAGCAGTCTGTGCTGGGGCCGGGCACCCGCTTGCTGTGCTCGTGGTCGCCCACGAGCACAGCAGCCGTGCTCGTGATCACCCAGGTGTCTCACCTGCTGTATGGAGCCGTGCTCGCGGTCGCCCACGTCCGGCACGGCCAGCTCCGGGTACACGTTCTCCAGGTACCACCGGAACGAGTGGCAGCTTAGACGCTGGCGCAGCTCCTCCCGCTCCTGCACGCTGGAACGGGGCGGGCAGCCATCAGCGGCGCCGGCTGCTCTGTCCGGGAGCGCGCG